CATCGCTCACTCGCACATCACAGATGGAAATCCTTTCGCGACTTCACCGCGACCACCTGTACGTTCGTACAGGTCCGTTTGCACGTAGAAACGTCCTTGCGTCCGCCTCAGTTCTACTTATTGTTAGTTATCTCCCTCTCCTTCGGCCGTCGTAACGCGTACTACGTCGTTCAAGACGAGCCGGTAGGAGATGAGGAGAATACTTTCCGATGAGTATTTATTATCGCCGTCACGTCGTTACCGCCACGCCGTGGACAACAAACGGATCTCGTTTTCCTCGAAAGCACGCGTCGCGATTTTTGACACTGTTCCAAATACTTACTTAATGATCCCCGGATTATATATTCCGAGATTTCGAGGACGACGGCAACACGTTCCCGTCTGACGATGTTGTCTCGACTATTAACTCTCGTTGTCTGCTCCGCGTCACCGCGCGTTCGTTCAGTTAGTCTTGACGCGGTTTACTGACGCCCACGCGCACAGCCGTACATTCCTGTACGCCTGTACTCTCGCACTCTCGGTGTACACACGGAAGAACCGCTACGTGGAGCTCGAGGGTACGGGAATTCAATGCGACAACAACAAACTCACTTGAGAGTTGGCGCGCAACTGAACGCCGCAGCGGCATGTCGCAAGCTTTCAATGTGGCGCGCGCCGCGAATCGCTCCGAGTCTCAATGCGCTTGCGCCCGCGTTGGACTTCCCTCCGCTCGTTCCGCTCCGTCCGTACGGTCTGTACTTTACCTCCTCTCGCGAACGGTCCTCTCTCGGAGAGACCGACCGCGGAGCGTCCACCGCCGCCTTCCTCCTCCCGTCGCCGCGCCGATCGGCGGCGTTCGTTGAGTTCGCTCACGAGTTGCCTTCCACTTGCCCCCCGCTCCAATTTCCCTTTCTGTTTCCGATGGCATTTCGGCCGTCTTTTTTCCGTTCCCCTTCGCTTCTTCGGATCTTTTAAGCCGCGCATCTTTTTTTCTCTCTTTTCTTGTTTTTTTTCCGCCATTCCTCACGTCCTAGCACCCTGCGATTCTATCACGGCTCCGCGCGACGGAAAAAGTTTTCCGGCGTTTGATTCTCCCGATGCTATTCGCGCCGCGTCGCATGCGCGTACGAAAGGTACTTTTATTCGCGACGGATGCATGGATTTTCCCGCTCGGGCAATTATCCAGATAGCAACGTGTCTGACTTGTTGCTGGTATGTTGTTTGCAAATATGTATGTGTTCCTACCAGAATTGCAGCAATTTGAGTATGCATTTATTGACAGATTTATGCCTTCACAATATAACAATTTTGAGTAACAATTTATTATCAATTTGCCGATAATTTTAAAATCATCATCATCCAAATTCATGCTGTGAATAATAATCTATAGGATCGCACAATACCCTGTCATATTGCCGACAACGCGACAATACATGTAATACATTGTTGTCTCGTGTTGCTACACTGTCGGTATATTCGTTGAAGACAAATATATTGTAAGTTACCAGCATCATAAGCAATCGCAGATTTGTGCGATTTTGCTGAGACGCGCTTGGTTTATCTGGATAGCTTTTAGTTATCAGGCAGATCATTTGAGTTGTTAATTATTGCATGAATTGTTTGAATTGGCAATCGAATTTAAATGAGCTATTAATACCGAATATCAGACTATATATATTTAATTGCCATTCATTAACTTCCGTTAATGTATTACAATTAATATTTTATAATTGTTCATATTTAATGTAGCTTGTTCATATTTAATGCATCATGTGTCGCGTGACTATATACGCCACGTGGTGCTAATCACGACGGTTGATATTTATTTTTGAGAACATCTTATTACAGCCGACAGGAAAGTGTCATCGTTTACACCTTATTGCGCAATCGGTGGTAATCAATGCAGAATTTTTTTGCCATTTGTGCTACCTTGTTGAGATTTTTAGAGATTTTAAAAGACGATTTTCGTTATATTGTTTTAGTTGCTTAAAATATATCTGAACAAGACATGTAAATTTTTCAAGACTATTAAATAACACAGTAATAAAGTAATAAGTGAGGTTTGCAAGAGAATTATATGATTGCGGATATATTCGTAAAATTTTAATCAAGATTTATGATAAAGCATTGATATTTAACATTAAACTACATTAAAAACGATCATTTTGATTACATCTCTCCATTTTCTGGAGCTGTTTTAGAATGTGTTATTTTCTTATATTTATGTCTCAATGTTGATTGCGGCTTATCATTCCGTCATAGTATAAAAATGTTTTATCCTCGCTTTTTCCTAAAATTCTCCGGAACTACAGATTTTTGAAACGTTCATCCTCTTCCGGTGTCATCGGACCATAGATCATTCTAGTCAGATCGCTTGTAATCTCTGGAAGATAATTTTTACAGGAACAACCGGTGGACTTTTCCACGCGAGATGTATCGCGATCGAACCAGACAAACAGTTCTTCCGTCGTCACGAATAGACGAATCATTATGTTGCGTCATGTTTTGATTATTTATCTACGCGCATTTTTTTATCTTAACATCATAACATCATACAGCGTAGTTACGCGTGCGTTGATCTACAAGCCAACGTACGCTGACGTACATTAATCAATCAGATTGAACGAGTTTCTGCATATCAGCGACTCGCTTGTATCGATATATTCTTATCACTATCAAAGCACGAAAAAAAAAACTAGACGCGACGATTTTTGCGCGCGAACGATACTAAGATTAGATCGCGTTAATTAACATCCCTTTGCGGATCACTAATTAAACGCTTTATTCGTGTTCTAATTCATGTTGATAAGTGTATGTGTGTGTCAGCATGTGTATTACATAATAACGGGTTACGAAACGGGAATCAGAGACCTATAAACAATACGCGTTATTTTTTATCTGTCCCTCTCTTTTTGATTCTTTTATTTTATGTTGACTAATTTTTTTCCCTTCTAAATGAAAATAATCTTGTTTCGTAAGTAAAAGATCTCTTTTAAGATATATATATATATATATATATATATATATAAAGATGGTACTAAATTATTTTATTTTCCATGAATTATTGATATTTAATTATTAATAATATTTTAGAAAAAACAATTACATATATTTATTACTTCGTGTTATATATGTGTATATATATATATATACTATCCATAAATTATAACTTTCTATAAACGAAGTCATTATTTGTTTTACTGCTAACATTAAAATGACATTTAAATCATTACAATTTTTTAATTTTACATTTTAATAATTTCTGCAAATTTGTAAAATTAAAGAGAATAAATATAAAGCTAGCGTATAAGTCATCGGTTTTCGTTTTTCGGAAACGGTCCACGAATTTTTATGTGCTAGATTGCATTCAGAACCTTCATGGATGCGTTCGAAACTCCGAGTAGAAATTTTTCCAACTATTCTTCGAAAATTAACTCGGATCGTACAAAACTGACATACCAGCAGGGCTGCGTATTTTTGCATTTAAAATGCCATTTAAAATGTAATTCTATTTAAAATGCTAAATGTAAAATACTTAAAAAAATGTATATTAAAATGTATGTAAACCATTCTGTATTTGAAAACTGTTTAAAATATCTATTTACCCATTTTACATATAAAGTGGATTCGAAAAACGTTTTATACATTTTAAATACATTTTTTTAAGTATTTTATATTTGGCATTTTAAATGATTACCCAGCCCTACATACTAGTTGCGTTCGGAAATATCGAGTAAAGTCATTTAAGATATTACAATACTCTAAGCTTTTTCAATCTTTGAATTTTCAGAAGTTAATAGAGTAATCTGTCTCGCTATTTTGGCACGAAGCTAGAGCTATACGAAAGATAGAACAAATTGAGTTTACCGTGGTCTCTTATTAATTCAATTGTGGGATGTCGAGCGATCCATCATGTTGTAATAAAAAACCGGAAAACCATCGTGAGTATCTAGAGTTAAAGGGATGCTGGAGCGATCAAACTGTCGACACATTACAGATCGATAAAAATCCCTAAATTTACTGAACGGAATAAAAGTCCTTCGATAAAAATCTTCTTCGAAAAGAATGCGACACCGGATATTGATATCCGGCAGGACAATCATGGCTTCCACAGACAGAATGCAGTAATTCGTTTGCCGCGCGACAGAAGTTAACACAGTAGCCAATCATTCTTTCGCTTTTATAGAAAAACGATAAACTGATTGGTCAATTTCCGCCGTTGCTGCGTTTTATGTGCAGGAACCATTATTCGGTCGGATTTCGGATATCTTCCCAGATATCTGGCACAAATTCCCTAAAATTCTAAAAAAAAAGGAAGGCAAGATAAAAATAGCGATAATAATTTTCTTTATTTCTTCAATGTGGAAAGAAAAAGATGAAAGATGAACTGTACAAGAAGTTCTGCAAATATAAAATTTTAGCCGGATATGGAGTCGGTAAATATTTTAATGATATCCGGTTATCCAATCGAATATTCGGGATGCATCCCTTCATTTATAATTTTAAGGGGATCCTAAAGCCGTCTGTATTACCGACTAAATCGTAATTTTTGTATAACAAATACTTTTTTCTCTTTCACAGATTCAAAAATCCTTTTCCAGGATTAAAATATACACATTAATACGTGTTTGTGATGTAGAATTTATGCCGAGAACGATAAAAAATTTCGAAATTGAAATCTTAAGAAAAATTTTGTCGTTCTCAGCATAAACTCCACTTCACAAACACGTATTAATGTGTATACTTTAATCCTAGAAAAGGACTTTCGAAGTCTGTGAAAGAGAAAACAGTATTTGTTATACAAAAATTATGATTTAATCGGTAATACAGACGGCTTTAGGATCCCCTTAACATGCGGTATCATAAGAAATTGAAGAAATCAGCTTGAAATATTTACCGACCGTTTAAAATTGATTCTCATAAGCGCAATGCGATCGGATGAGTCGCGCCATCTGGCAGCGCGTTTGCAAGCGACTTCAGTCGGTATTGCATACGCGAAACGGGACCGATCACCGCCGGAAAGACTCGACTTGAGCCGAATTTCCTCGCCGTGATATTAGCCACAACAAAAAATTTGTGGTAATCGCGCAAAAAGTTTTTGGCGCTACGTATTGCTATATTTTTCGCGTTCTACCTACGGCAAGCAACGGCAAGGTGCTCGTCAGCCACGTTGTCGCTTCGTCCAGGATTCGGCGGCCCGTCGACGGCGCGAAGTAAGGAATTGCGTGCACGCCGTGCGGAGAACTCGGTATCGCGCGTTCGATCCCGCCTGGCCGTGTTTGCGGATCGTGTTGTGTCCAACTCGTGTGCGCCTCTTGACGGCAAACGGCTCGACGGACGCATGCACGCGTTGCGATGTTTTGATGAGAACGGATCAATGCGAACTCGATGTCCCGATATATCCATCACTTGCATGCTAATTTGGTGGTCGTGAGATGATATGCTTAGCTTCGCATGAGTGATTTGGTCGACCCCGCGCCACCGCGTCTCACTGCGATGTTCAATCGCTCTCTCGCTGTGGCATCTTTTAATTTAACCTACAAAGAATCTTCGCATGAGGACTCTCACGTATTTTTCCGAATTTCGTTCTCTTGTCGAAACTTAACATTCGTCATGACGTAATTGATACAGGTCCTCTCGCGTATATCGCTGCATTTTTTATTTATCTTCGATGTAGGTTGTGATATCGAACGTGTAATCTCTTTATTCTTGAAAGCCTGTATCATAGAGATTGAGATTGACTGATCAGAAGAAAGAAAACAAAAAAATATCAAGTTCGATAAATTTTGCTTTGATCAGATTCAATCTCAGGTCAGTTTGAGTCTTATATTTTGGACTATTTTAAGTACAGTCTCAAGATGTAATAAGCCAATTATATAGAGGGCTGTATTAGTATCTTAAGACATTACTTAAGAATGTTTTAAAATAAGAACGATATTGTTCTCAGTCTCAATTTCAATCTCTAGTCTGGAGGTTTATTATTTATACCTCGTTCTTGAAACAAGGTAAAAACTGAAAATTTTATAAAAGTAGAATTCACTCGACGTTAATCAATGAACTATGAGGTTATAAATCTTCTAATAAATTTGCACTTGTAATTTTCATCTTGTTTCAAGAACTGTAACAGGTCCTTTATTTAAGATTTTTAGGCCTGTTCTTTTTAGCTAATTTTTAGCTATTTGCATCGTTTATCTTTTTTATTTTTTTCTCCATCTTGGAAAGAAAAAGAGAAAAGATGTAAGAAGTTCACCTGAAAAGAAGACCTTCTTTTGTTCTTATTATTTCATTTTGTCTATTAACATAGGAGATAGGACATTATGTCACTATGTCCTATCTCCCATGAATACATGACACATGAACTCACTTTGGCAGTTCTGCACTAAGATTTTATAACTCTTAATGACTGTATCTATATTGTTACATTGTTATTGCATAGCTTTTTTTATTATACACATGTGATATCTGCATGATGATAATATAATGATACCGATACTGTTATACAAAGTTATTAAATTCTAGAACTGATTCGTTTGTCAAGTTGACTGATGTTTCGTTGTAATGTTGCTTGCAGACTGCACAATCACGTAAGAGTTATAGGGAAATTCCAGCATTCACAATGGCAGGAGAGCAGCAACAGTTTTTTCTCAAATGGAATGACTTCCAATCGAACATGGTGTCATCGTTCAAACACCTGCGAGATGAGAAAAGCTTCACGGATGTGACATTGGCTTGCGATGGTCAGACTTGTAAAGCACATAAAATGGTCTTGTCCGCTTGTAGTCCTTACTTCAAATCTTTATTAGAGGTACATTGGCCATATTATTCTATTATTTTACATCATCATTCTAATATTACTATTATCTATTAGCTAATTTATTAGTAATTGATAGACTTTGCAACTAAATAAATTTTCTCTTTATATATAGGAAAATCCGTCCAAACATCCAATTATAATTCTAAAGGACGTTGCGTACAGTCATCTACAAGCCATCCTAGAATTCATGTATGCAGGTGAAGTAAATGTCTCGCAAGATCAGCTACCAGCATTTCTCAAAACAGCAGACCGGCTTAAAGTTAAAGGACTAGCTGAAGCTCCCGGTGCCATTAAGAGAGAAGGTTAAAAATACACACGTAAAATATGGTATGATTTAAAATTTTATTTATTTGGCTTTAGGAGTGATATAAATATTTATATAAATTTCCTATGTTCAAATTTCTAATTATTATTTTATTGCAAAATTTTCTTTATAATTATGTATGTATTCGTTAATTTAATTTCTTACTAATGTAAGATATTTATATATTTGATAAAAGATAAAAGAAATCTCTCATTTAATATATAGATGCTATAATATTTTTTTAAGTAATATTATTGGTTTCGGAGTTTATATGTCGCACGAGAGTTCATTGTTCGGTTATTGATTGTACAAATCTATTTATATTCTTGGGGTGAATAATATATATACGAATTTGATTGTAGTCGCGCGCTCAATTAAATTCGTGTATATGTTGTCAAGTTGTCATACGCGTTGGACGTAAATATAATGAGCTGAAATTCTATAAATACAATACCACAATATCATTTTTTATGCATGTTGTGAGGTTTGTAACTATGCTTGAAAATGCAAATGGGGCAAAAATGTGAATTTTGATTTGCAGGTATTTGAAAAGTGTGTGGACTGAAAAAACAGTGTAATAATGTAAAGTGATTGAGTAAAACACGTACCACACAACATAAACACACAACACAACATACATTATAAATATATAGACATATGTAAAAAAAATTTAAACACTGCGTGTGCACAACTCGGTGTCCTACGGTTCATGACTTGGATCAACACGCGGTGATGTAAAATAATGCCTTTTTCTTATTCTCAGTTAATGTTAACTGGTTGTATTGATAGTATGTACACATACATGCAAGTAGAGAAAAAAATGTTGATGTTTGTCTTGAACCCATTACGCCATATTGGCAATAATAACAACACATTGATTATTTTTTTAAAATGAATCGTCGCGAATCGGTGGATCGCGATAGTTTACAATGCATACTGACCGGGGCAATCTTGGTGGATCAAGTTGGAAATGTTGACAACACCTGTTACAATGCCTGTTTTTCAAGCCGATCTACCTGACTCGTAGCACTCCTCTATCGATTCTATTTGGTAGATCTATTCACGAAGTAGCGTTATCTTATATTACCATAATTATTTCTGTCATTTATTTTTATCACGCATTAATTATTATTTAATTCATGTTGAAAATATGAATCATCATAAACATCTTGAAAATATTAGAGACTAATTTTTTAATTAGAAATCCATACTAATTTTATTGTCCGTTTTTTGCAAATTATTATAAGGATGATTATGGAGATTGATCTCATAGGGCATTAACAATCTTATATCGCACTAAATTGTATAAATACTAATTAAATAATGACAAATGGAAGTATTTTATTGGCATTCAATAGAGAAATTTTGCTCCTATCGTGGATAGATTTGCGAAACCCCCGGCAAATCATTTAAAGAATGTTAAATCAGGTTTACTGGAAGTAGTAACGTGCGCGTTTAAATCATTTTCTTTTGTCAGTTTTGAGGTATTGAAATACTGTTCTTTTACGTTCGTGTGAAATGTAAAAAAAAGAAAAGAAAAAACTACAAAATTTGAAAGGAATTGTAATACCGTAATTAATCTCCGTACAAGTTACCTCTTCTAGTGATCATGATTTTTACTTAACCAAATACTGCCAGTGTTTGTACCGGCGTATTCACAATATTACCGATATAGACCAAATTTATTTATGATAATAATATATTAAGGGTTGAATGTCTTAACTTGAGGGAAGGTTATTGTAATATAAGCGAAGTAAATTTTTGTAAAGTCGGAGCGCACAGTTCCTTTTCCCTCCCGAACAACCAGGATGCTCGGAAAAGTCTAGAAAGGCAGTCAGGAAACATTATCGAGTCAAGGATATAACCATCAATTTGTTATAGAGAATTTCATGTTTTTTCTTGTTTGTAATCAAGTATTTTAACATTACTCGGATTTCACTGTTTCATTACTTTTAAATTTATGACAGCGCAGTATAAGTTTTCGTCAATTGTGTTTATCGTTAGTAAGTCTACGCTCATATTTCCTGACTTTTTGGTTTCTTTTAATTATACATTGAGAAAAAATTCTGCAGCGTTTCGTGAGTTTTCCTTGCGAGTTAATTGTCCTTGTGCCTAATATGAATTTACTCCAATCTTCACGTGAATTATATACCGAATTAGCACGAGTGAAGTTTTATGGACACTGAATGCCGATTTATAATCGTACACATTCACGTATCGAAATGTCAGTCATACACGTCATACACCGCAGAATGTTACGAATCATAATGCATCATTTCCTGTCGATTTTGCTTCGGATATTTCTGTGAATTACACAAGAGATCGCGCTGATCGAATTTACGATTGTAAGAATGGTCCATCCAAAAAGAACTCGTCGTTCGTAAGAATGCTTTGAACTATTCCATGCGATAAAGTCGAATGGAATTTGACTTTGTATCAAAGTATATGGCTTCCATATAAATTTTGGCGATGTCTGACGATAACAAGTTCTGATAATTAACGGGACCATTCTCGTGCAAGCGGCGTTAAAGTGAAATTTGCAATGTAAGAATAGTTATATTTGTCATCTTCTCAAAATAAGGATTCAATTATTTGAGCTTTTTCAAGCATTGGAAGATTTCATCATCTTTTGTAATTATCCGATAGCAATATCGTATAATAGATATCCAATATTCTCTCAGTCTTATGAGGGAATACAACGAATTGTCTCCCTCCGATTTAATAAACTTTATATGTTAAAATATAGACAAAAATAAGATTAAAAAATATGTATTTTTTTAAGTACTTTCTTATATGTTAAAGGAGAGAATCTCCCTTCGAAAAAAATTGAGCTTTTTCTGAGTGAATATCGTCTAAATCAAAGATATAAAAAATGTTTTAAATAAAAAATTGAAGAGTTTTAAGAATACTTTATAGTTATAACTCTATAAACATTTTTTTTAATAAATACAAAATTAGGAAAAATTTTATATTATTACGAATTAACTCTTCAAATCATTCAACTTTTTTTATTTAAAACAAAACTTTTTTACCATATATCTTCGACGGTTTAAATGATAATATATACATTCCTCAATGTTGAGGAAAAAAAAATTTTTTTCAAAGATTTTTTTTTTTTTTTTCTTTCAAAGAAGAGTTTTATCTCTAGGGAAATTCTCTCTCTCTCTCTAAAATCGTTTGTTTTAGTACGTAATGATGTATCGATGTCACACATAAATCATGGTAATCCCATTAAATCGGTAAAACAGACATCTCGTTGGAGTTCTTCAAAAGAAGATCTTCAGTTAAAGATCTTTTGTTTTACCATATTAGATTTTAACATATCAAAACTTATTAAAATCGGACAAGGATATTTGGTTATATTCCTTTGTCAATATTTAAGGCAGTGTTAAAAGCGTCGAAATGGATGGGTTCAGTTCCTACAATGATATGTTTGCCGGGCATTTGGTGGCTAAATGTGAATAATAATACTATGTACATTTGCTATGCTGTAAATTTGGAATACAATTATTGTAGAATAGCAAATCTCATATACAAGTGAACGTTCGCGCGCTAAATTCACGATTATGTCATATAGCCTTTTCCCTTACGTTTCTCGCTCCATCTCCGACTTAAATATATTGCACTTTTCACATTCACAACTCCAAATTCTTCAAATCGATTCGCTTGCACAAATTATCGGGATGAATCTCTCTTCCCTCTCTCCTTCCCTTCCTTCTGTCCTTTTTCCATTTTGTTATCCCTGCTATTTTAACCGAAATTCGAAATCCTCCTTATTGACGTTACTTTTGCTATTATATGACTCGATGATGATTATGATATGATGTTGAGATATAAAATAAATTGTGTAAATATACCATTTTTTGGCATAACTATCTTTATTGCATACTCCTTCTTACATACTCCTTTTTTTGCAGATTTTATTCTTAAATTTTTCTTAAAATATTTTAGCGTGTTAATTGTTATCGTATAAATAAACATTGCGTACAAAGTACACATGCAAAATTATATTCTTTATTGTATATTATACATAATTTTTACTGCATGAAACATACTGCACAATACATTTATAGTCATAAGCAGTGTGAGATAGAGTATAAAATATGTATAAGTGATCAATTTACACTTAAAAAAGTTGAGTAATATATTTATATAAGATATATACTATATGAGGTACTAGCAATCAGGCTGTGTTTTTGATTTCCTGACTTTCGTTATCACAAATGCATAGAGTAAAAGTAATTAATGCTATTGTGGTGTATTCACCTTGTTTCAGCTTATTTTTCAGTATTTTATTTTCGATTATTTTTTAGGTGGATCTATGGAAAAAAATGTTGAAAATGTAGTGTTAAAATGATAGATTCAGTAATAAATAGTACTTCATACTTACGTGGCGTTGTGAAATTGAAGACTGGGTATCTTGGTGCGAAAGGCTCGTTGGCACCATGTACATAATTTGACTCATCTTCATCTTTGATGCTATCCGCTCTTTGCATACATTCTTCATACGAAGGCGGTGCTAGAGAGAGAGAGATAAAGATAATAGTTTTTTAAAAATTATATCTTTTAACATGTCTGTGCTAGGTCAATTTTAAGTAATTTGATCATTGCAGTATTTTTGTTTGCGTTTGTCTGTATTATATGTATACCTGCAAATATGTATTTCATAATTACAAAAATGAATATAAAGAAGAAAGTACCAATATTACATCACATTTGATATCATAAGTACAATATCTACGTATATATCAACAATTATTTTATAATTATATTTTTATAGTCAAAATAAACAATTTGAATGAAAAGTTCAGCGTGGGTTACTAGTACATGGAATATGTTAAAGAGTTCTTACATGCAGATCAAATTTCTATAATAAATCTTGCAAAATTCTTAATTCTATAACAAAAATATTGTCACAGAAAAATATTTTCTCTCTGGTCTTGATTTTCTGTACTTCTAATTAAGACAATAAAATGAAAATAATATTCAATATTATATGGTATTAAGGTTGATATATATTTTCAAGATTTAATATTAAATTTTCAAAATAATTATTTACAAAGAAAAACACTCACGTATGTCCCTCGGGTTAGTCGACGTGCTGGGTTGATTTAGCGAGGCAAAACCCATCTCTTGAGGATAAGGCGTATTTGGTGGTACGTAATCTGGAGACGTTGGCATCGGTGGCGGTGGATCATAATCATATTGCGTTACAGGAGCTGTGGGCTGCTGCACGGTTTGTATATAAGATGCAGATGAAATAGTAGAGTGTAATGGAATTGTTCCGATTAAGATTGGATAAACTTTAGTAATGCTGGAATGCCTGCAATATAGCGGAAATTGAATCGATTTCTTAATCAAAATCGCTAATCAATATAATTTAATTGCGATTTTCTATTTTCGTAAATTGCGGGACATTTGTTGTAAACAATTACAAAACGATTTCTAAAAATTTTAAGAATTGATTAAAAAAAGCAAACTATTGATTATAACATATGTACAATCGCACGAATTAAATTATTTTTGATTTTATTGCTATATATGCTTTGAGAAAATATATACATACGTTCCAGAGACATGAATGGTAACGCGCAAGGAATATTTCTGATCTATTATACCGCAATATTCCAGTTGGGATGGCGGTATTGGCGGAACCTGTAACCGTGATGGAACGTCAGCTTGTTCGCTGAATAATCCCATTCTTTGCTCGGCTTTTAAAATCGCCTTATCTGTCTTGGTCATATTATACGGTGATTTCGCATGAAATTCCAAGGACTTTATAAATAGAAAAAAGAGTCACAATTACGATATTGATTGAAATTAATTTGATACGCTAGTTACGTAGTTATACCTACTCGTTCCAATTTAACACAAATCTTCGTTACATT